ACTGCTACTCCTACTGCGACTACTACTACTACTACTACTACTACTACTACTACTACTACTGCTACTGCTACTACTACTACTACTACTACTACTAATAATACTACTACTGCCCCCCTACTACTACTACTACTACTACTACTACTACTTTACCACTACTACGATTACTACTACTACTACTACTACTACTACTACTACTACTACTACCACCCCTACTACTACTGCTACTACTACTGCTACTGCTACTGCTACTGCTACTACCACTACTACTGCTACTACGACGACGACTACTACTACTGCTACTACTACTACGACGACTACTGCGACTACGACTGCTACTACTACGAGTACTACTACCACAACTGCTACGACGACGACCCCTGCTACTACTACTACTACTACTACTACTACTACTACTACTACTACTACTACTACTACTACTACTAATACTGCTGCTACTACTACGACCACCACGACTACAATTAGTACTAACATTACTACGACTACGAATACTACTACTACTACTACTACTACTACTACTACTACTACTACTACTACTACTACTACTACTACTACTACTACTACTACTACTACTACTACTACTACTACTACTACTACTACTACTACTACTACGACTACTACTAATACTGCTAACCTGCTCTACTACTACGACCTTGCCTACTACCGACGATTAACGACGACGACAATACTGCACCGGGACGGACACAACTACGACAACCACTACGCACAAACAATACTACTGCTAATACTACTACTGCTTGGCTGCTCCGAATACTACGACTACCACTATTACTACACTTACTACTACTACTGTACTACTACTACTACTTACTGCTGCACTACTACTCCTACTACTACCACCACTACTACTACTACTACTCCACTACTCTACTACTCACTCCTACTACTCTACGACTACTTACGCCTACTAACGAATTACTTACTTACGACTACGACTACTACTACTACTTACTACTACTACTACGACTGCACGACGGACTACTACACCTACTACTTACTACTTACTACGACTATACCTCTACTGCTGCTGCTTGCTGCTGCTACTGCTGCTGCTGCTACTACTACTACTACTGCTGCTGTATCTATACTACTTTACTACGACTACACTACTACTACTACTACTACTACTACTACTACTACTACTATTACTACGACTACTACTACTACTACTACTACTACTACTACTACTACTACTACTACTACTACTACTACTACTACTACTACTACTACTACTACTACTACTACGACTATTACGACGACTACTACTACTACTACTACTACTACTACTACTACTACTACTACTACTACTACTAGGACTACTACGACTACTACGACTACTACTACTACTACTACTACGACGACGACGACTACTACTACTACGACTACGACTACGACTACGACTACTACTACTACTACTACTACTACTGCTACTACTACTACTACTACTACTACTACTACTACCACTACTGTCATGACTACTACGATGACTACTACGATGACCACTACGACTACGACGACTACTACGACTTCGACGACGACGGCGACCACGACGACGACGACGACGACGACAACGACTGCAACTAGTACTACTTCCTCCCAATGTATGCATGCGCCGCGCCCTCGACACTCAGAGATCACGTTCTCGCCTTGGACTTCTTCAAGATTTGCTTGGGAATCGCGCTATCACTCGAGACTTCCTCGGGATTCGTGCAAGGCTGACGCTTCAGCAAATCGCCCGCACGACCCGGCCGCCTGACGAGGACGAGGACGAGGACGAGGACGAAGAGAGAGGAAAGAAGAGAGAGAGGGAGGAGGAAGAGGAGGAGGAGGAGGAGGAGAAGGGGGAGGAGCAGCAGCAGCAGAAGCAGTAGCAGCAGCAGAGAGGAGGAGGAGCAGGAGGAGGAGGAGGAGGAGGAGGAGGAAGGGGAGGAGGGGTCGGCGGAGGAGGATGAGGATGAGGAGGGGGAAGAGGAGAGGGAGGAGGAGTAGAGAGGAAAGAGTACGAGGAGGACGAGGAGGAGGAGGAGAACGAGGGGGAGGGAGTAGAAGATAGGAAGAGGAGGAGGAGGAAGAGAACCAGTGTAAACCCAAGACTAATCAACGATATTGCGATAGAAAACCTCCCTCCGAGCTCCCTGTTCACAAGCCCCTACAAGGGTTCATTTTCAATGAAGGAGGTGTCTCGTTGAAAAACAACCGCTTGAAAATCCTGAACTGCACTAGAACACCATTCCTGGGACTTCAACGCTCTTGACGATACTGAACCGTGTCAGAACACGGTTCCTTGGACTTCGACACCACGAATCAACATAAACGTGGCGAATGTGCGCGGCGCTGAGGCGAGAACAACATGTTGAAAACGACCCGCCTTCCATGAATTCAACTCTCGCAGTGTCATATATATATATATATATATATATATATATATGACGTGTTTAGGCGAATGCTCAACAGCAACACTGTTGCAAGTGTCAAGCACCAGGATCAGACATGCCGAGGAAACCTCCAACGAAACACCCAGCCAACCCTTCCCACTGGCCTCGGGGTGCGACAGCGAGGAGCCAGTCCCAAGGAAAGAGGAAGTGGAGGGCCCTCGGCGGGCCGTGCCGGCAGCGGGGCCGTCGACAAACGGCTCGGGATACGGCGCCGGTGCGCGGCAAGAGGGTCATAATCTCTGGGGAGCAACGCTGTGAAAAATCACGGCGAGGGATGTCTGGGGAGGAGGAGGAGGAGGAGGAGGAGGAGGAGGAGGAGGAGGAGCGGGGGGGAGGAGGAGGTAGAAGTGGGCTGCGACGAGGACGAGGACGAGGACGAGGAGAGAGGGAAGAGAAGAGAGGAGGAGGGGGAGCAACGCTGTGAAAAATCACGGCGTCGGAAATCCGCCGACCCTGTCGGCGTACGCGAAGGGGTTTGCCCGTTCGAGTCGTCGTCTCCGTCAGTCTTAGACTGCGTGCCCTTTCCCCGCACCCTCCTCAAGCCTGTCAGCGAGAGGAAGCCCTCGCAAATATAGTGATCGAATCGAAGGGAAGCCTTTTCCCTTAGATCCCTCCCCCGTCGGTGGGGGGGGGTCCCAAAAGTGGGGGTCAGATACCCATCCCCCCTGGGGGGTCCCGGGTCTGCAAAAAGTACCAAAACAAGCCAAGAGTGCCCCAAGAGGCCCCTGAGACGGTCCAAGAGGGCCCCCAATCGCCAAACGGTCTGTCCAAAGCGCCTGCACGCTCCCAGACTATCCAGGAGACCTCCAAGACGCCCCAAGAGGCCTCTGAAAGTACTCCCGAGAGGGTCACAAGAGGCAAAAATAATCCCACCAGCCCTCTGGGCGTCGGTGGTTTAGGGCGTTTCCTATTCCACCCCTCCCTCTTCCCCTTCGGGGAGGGGTTTACCCCTCCCCCTACCCCCTCCCCACTGACCTGGACAGGAGGGGCGGGGAGCGGTCAGAGCGTCCAAAACAGCCTCGGCGAGGAAGCCAAAATCATTGATTTTAGCAGGGTTTTGGCCCCATTTTGGCCTCCTGGGGGGGGGGCAGCGCTAATTAAAGCTCAGCTCTTCTTTGATAGATCTCCTCCAAGATGGCACAAAGAAGCGCCCAGGAGGCCCCAAGAGGTCCCAAGATGGCCCCAAGATGGCCCCAAGAGGCCCCCAAGAGGCCCCCAGAAGGCCCCCAAGAAGACCCTCAGAGGCCCCAAGAGGCCCCCCCCCCGAGGCACCCAAGACCCCGAAGAGCCCCCCAGGATCGCCAAGAGACCCCCAAGACGTCCCAAGAGGCTCCTAAGAATCGCCCAAGAGATACTCCAAGGGGCTCCTAGAGGCATCCAAGAGACCTCTGGCCCTTGTGCTTGCCCTCCTCCTCCTCCTCCTCCTGTTCCTCCTTCCTGCTCCTACTCCTTCTCTTCCTCCTCCTCCTCCTCCTCCTCCTCCTCCGCCTCCTCCTCATCCTATTCATCCTCCGTCTTCCCACTCCCTCATCCATCCATCCATCCACCTCCTCCTTCTCCTCCTCACTCCTTTGCACGGTTCGGCCGTCCTCCTCTTTGCTGCCGCACTTCCCTGATCACCTCAACTCGCCTGGACATCGTTTCGGGATGGGCTGGTGGGGATAAGCGAGGCGTCTAGAATTGATTCCCTTGAGGGTTTTGACAGATTTGGGTGTTCTCGCCTTTTCCGCTTCCCGCCGCTCCAAGACGGCCGACGAGACCCTCAAGATCGCCCCAAGACGGCCCAAGAGGCTTCCAAGAGCGTTCCACATCATCCAAAGAGAACCCCAAGACTGCCCAAAACGCACCCAAGACGACCCAAGAAGCCCCCAAGACTGCTCCAAGAGCGTGCCCTGACGGGGAACCCGAACGGACATTTCGAGCCCCCGGCCCCGAGAAGCTCCCAGGAGGCCCCAAGAGGTTCCCAAGAGGCCCCAAGAAGCCCAGAAGCCCACAAGAGGCCCCCAGGACACCCGAAAAGGTCACCAAGAGGCCCCCAAGAGGCTCCCAAGAGACCCAGAACTTCCTCCCCAGAGGCCCCCGAGAGCCTTCCCAAAAGACCCCAAGAAGCATCTCTGAGGACTCTGGCCCACGTCCGCGTCGTCGTCGTCGTCGTCGCCGCCGCCGCCGCCGCCGCCGCCGCCGCCGTCGTCGTCCCCCTTCAGGGTCGGCGGCACTGGCCGTAAGGCCTCCGCAGTCTCTGGGGACCAACGCTGTGAAAAATCACAGCGAGGGATGTCTGGGGAGGAGGAGGAGGAGGAGGAGGAGGAGGAGGAGGAGGAGGAGGAGGAGGAGGAGGGAGGGAGTGAGGAGGAGGATAAGAAAGAAAGAGGGAGGAGGAGGAAGGAGAGGAGGTAGTGGGCGGCGACAGGACGATGACGAGGACGAGGAGAGAGGAAAGAAAGAGAGGATGAGGTGGAGGTTGGGAGGAGGAGGAGGAGGAGGAGGAGAAGGAGGAGTAGAGGAGGAAGGGGAGTAGAGCAAGCAAGGTGAGTGGTGTGTGGACCTTTCAGGAGGAGTAGGAGGAGGAGGAGGAGGACGACGACGACGACGAGGAGGAGGAGGAGAAGAAAGAGGAGAAGGAGGAGGAGGAGGAGGAAGGAGTGAGGATGGGGGCAGCTGCGGCGTCGGTGGCGAAGACAGCCGCAGCGCGGCCTGCAAGAAGAGTCTCACGGGCACCGAGGAGAGCACGAAGGGCGCAAGAAACAGCAGGCACCAGGACACCATCACGAGGCGTTGGCTCCTGGCCCAGTGCGTCCACCTGAGCGAGGAGGAACAAGGAGGAGGGGGAGGAGGAGGAGGAGGAGGAGGGGGAAGAGGAGAGATGGAGGAAGAAGAGTAGGAGAGGAGGAGTGAGGAGGACGGGAGGAGGAGCAAAGGAGAAAAGAGGAAGAAGGAGGAAAGACGAGAAGAAGACGGATAACAAGGGTGAGGGGGAGGGAGGGAGGAGGATGAGGATGAGGAGGAGGAGGAGGAGGAGGGGGAAGAGGAGGAGGAGGAGGACGGAGAGGAGAGGAGGAGGAGGAGGATGAGGAGGGGACGAGGGGAGCAGAAGCAGGATTGGGAAGAAGAGTAAGAATAAAGAATAAGAGAAAACGGATTACAAGGGTTGATGGGGAGGAGGAGGAGGAGGGAGAGGAGGGAGGAGGAGGATGAGGAGTAGGGGCCCCCTCCTCTCCTCCTCCTCCTCCTCCTCCTCCTCCTCCTCCTCCTCCTCCTCCTCCGCTCCTCTTCCTTCTCGATGACTTCTCTCGCCAGCCGGACCACCAGACGTGTCGGTAGCGCGGGCCCAGCGTTTCGCCCGAGACTTCCCCCCCGCGGACGCATCCGAAGCCTAACGCTGCCATCGGCTACTCGCACGGAGGGCGGCTCCTCTTCAAGACAGGGCTCTCGCCGTCGCGCCGAGAGCACCTTTCGGTCTTAAAAAGCGTCCAGAAATCACACGGACAGAAGGACGCGCTGTCAGAATGTGAATACAGAAAGATCTTAGAGCATTCTCTGGTGGGCCTGTAGGCGAGCCAGGACGCCTCGCCGCTGCTTGAAAGAGGGGTGGGAGGACGTCAGCTTCCCGAGCCCTCGAAGGCGAAGCCCTCTCTGGAGCGCGCTGGGCGCTGGGGAAGAGGGTGCTCACGCGCGCGGCCTCGAGCGGGCAGCCCATTGGCGTCCCTATCACTGTCCGTGAGAAACTCAACCCTGAGACCCCAGGACGTCCATTGGTTTTTGGTGTGGGAGCGTCACGCCTTCCACAGCAAAAACATCGAAACCCAGGAAACCCAGGGCACCCTGGAGTCTAGCAGGGTGTTTCTTGGCATGGGCTTCCACCGTATCGACTTTACGCCGCGCACACTCGTCTTCAAACAGGGCTGTCTTCCAAAGCTTGCTGTATTCAGCACCGCCGCGCACGTTCATCCCAAGGTATCCACCAGTTTCCAGGATGGATGGCGCCTTCTTTTCAAAATGGTGTTTTCGCCTCAGCGCTGAGCCCATTCCTTTTTAAAAGCTTCCAGAAGCCACACGGGTGGAGGGGGCTCGCTTTCGAAAGGTGGCCATCGCCGTCAGCGCCGCGCTCATTCGTCTTCCAGCAATTACACGGATGGGGGGGCGTCTTCGAAATATGGATTTCGCCACGAGCGCCGCGCACATTCGCCCTAAAAAATCCACCGGTTACGATGATGGAGGGCGGCTCCTTCTCCGAGTGAAGGTTTCCGCCTCAGCGCCGAGCACATTCCTCCTAAAACCGTCCGACAGCTGCACGGATGGAGGGGGCTCGCGTTCGAGGTGCGGTTATCGCCATGCCATCAGCGCCACGCACATTCGTGTTCACTCTTCCAACAGCTACACGGATGGAGGGGGGGTATTTGTTAACTGTGGCTCTCGCCCAGGCACCACGCACATTCGTCCTAAGAGCTTCCAACATTTACTCGGATGGAGGACGGTTCCCTTTCAAAGTATAACCCTTGCTTGAGACTTCCTTATTTCTAACGAACAGAACTCTAAAACTGCAGAACAACTACACAGACTGAGGACGGTTCCTTATGGGGAGGGGACTTGGGACGGGGGCGTATTGCAGCATCGTTGAAGGATGTTGGGTTTACTCCTGAACCCTCCCTTCTCCTCCTGCTGCTTGTTCTCGTCCCCCCCCAGACATCCGACGTCGTGATGTTTCACAACGTGGCTCCTCAGAGTGCTGGACACATTCCTGGGGACCGGCTCCTTCCATCCCTGTGTTTCTCGACGGCCCTGGGGCCAGCAAATGGCCCCCAGAGGCCGAAGACTGCAGAAACGTTCCGTCGGGATCTTTACGACGCAAGGATGTCCGGCTCTCGGGCCATACCTGGGGCCTCCAGCTCTGGCGGCCGATTGAATCAAGTCTGGAACCCCCCGACAGCTCTCGACGAGGCGGAGCTGATGGAGACCACCCACGGCTCCGAAAACCTACACGGAAGACGGGGTGCCATCCTCCTCCTCCTCCTCCTCCTCCTCCTCCTCCTCCTCCTCTTATTCTTCTTCTTCTTCTTATTATTCTTCTTCTTCTTCTTCTTCTTATTATTCTTCTTCTTATAATTATTCTTCTTATTTTTATTATTATTCTTATTATTTTTCTTCTTCTTCTTCTTATGCTTCTTCTTCTTATTATTATTATTCTTATTATTCTTATTCTTAGTATGATTATTCTTATTATTATTCTTCTTATTCTTCTTATTATTATTCTTATTATTCTTCTTCGTCTTCTTCTTATTGTTATTATTATTCTTCTTCTTATTATTCTTCTTCTTATTCTTATTATTAGTATTATTCTTATTCGTCTTCTTCTTATTCTTCTTCTTCTTATTATGATTATTATTAGTATTATCATTATTATCATTATTAATAATTTTATCATTCTTATTATGATTATTCTTATTCTCCTTTTTTATTATTATTCTTATACTTCTTCTTATTAGTATTATTATTATTATTCTTATTCTTATTCTTATTATTAATATTATTATTATTATTATTAGTAGTAGTAGTAGTAGTATTATTTTTATTATTATTAGTATTCTTATTATTATTATTAGTATTATTAGTATTATTAATATTATTATTATTATCATTATTATTGTTATTATTACTATTATTATTATTATTATTAGTATTATTCGTCGTTTTCCTCTTCTTCCTCGTCTTCCTCTTCTTCCTCTTCTTCCTCTTCTTCCTCTTCTTCCTCTTCTTCCTCTTCTTCCTCCTCCTCCTCCTCCTCCTCCGCCTCCGCCTCCGCCTCCGCCTCCTCCTCCGCCTCCGCCTCCGCCTCCGCCTCCGCCTCCGCCTCCGCCTCCGCCTCCGCCTCCGCCTCCGCCTCCGCCGCCGCCTCCGCCTCCGCCTCCGCCTCCGCCTCCGCCTCCGCCTCCGCCTCCGCCTCCGCCTCCGCCTCCGCCTCCGCCTCCGCCTCCGCCTCCGCCTCCGCCTCCGCCTCCGCCTCCGCCTCCGCCTCCGCCTCCGCCTCCGCCCTCCGCCTCTCCTCCCGCTTCCCACCTCCTGTCATAGCTCCCTCTTCCTCCTCATCACATCCTCTCCACCTCCACCTCCACGTCCTCCTCCTCCCCATCCCTCCTCCACCTCCTCAACCGATATATCTCTTATTTAGTAGTCTTATTATCTTCAATTAATCTTATTATTCTTATTATTCTTAAATAATAGCTATTTTAATAATTAATAAAAATTATAATTATTGATTATTATTAGCTATACAACGAAAAGTATTATAAACATTATTAAAAAATTATAAGTAAACATCACAATAATTATTATCATCATCAATATTACAATTAATAATCATTATAATTAGCAATATTACTTGGTATTAGTACTAGGAGAATTAGAAATAATAGTACGAATTAGAAATAATAGTAGAAGAGAATCCTACAAAGTAGAGAAACGTACTGAGTATGTAGTATTATTAGTATTGCTATTAGTATTATTACTACTAGTATTATTAGTATTAGTATTCTTATTCTTCTTATTATTATTTTTATTATTATTGTTATTGTTATTCTCATTATGCTTCTTATTATTATTATTATTCTTATTATTCTTATTATTCTTATTATTATTAGTATTCTTATTATTGTTCTTAGTCTTCTTTTTCTTCTTCTGATTCGTCTTATTATTCTTATTATTATTAGTGGTATTCTTATTCGTCTTCTTCTTATTATTATTATGATTAGTATTCTTATTATTCTTCTTCTTATTATTATTAGTATTCGTCTTATTATTATTCTTCGTATTATTATTCTTATTATTCTTCTTGTTCGTATTATTATTATTATTATTATTCGTATTCGTGTTCTTATTCTTCTTCTTATTATTATTAGTATTATTAGTATTATTAGTATGCTTATTCTTCTTCTGCGTCTGCTTCTTCTACTTCTTCTTATTCTTATTCTTATTAGCCTTATTCTTCTTCTTATTATTATTCTTCTTCTGCTTATTATTATTATTCTTAGTATTCGTCTTATTATTCTTAGCCTTCTTCTTCTTAATATTATTTTTATTATTAGTATGCTTATTCTTCTTCGTATTCTTATTATGTTTAATCTTCTTCGTATTATTAGTATTCTTCTTATTCTTATTATTCTTACTAGCATTCTTCTTATTATTATGGTTATTATTCTTGTTATTCTTCTTCTTATAAATATTATTATTATTATTATTATTATTATTATTATTCGTCTTCTTATTCTTCTTATTATTCTTATTCGTCTTATTATTAGTTGTCTTCTTAGTATTATTATTCTTCTTCTTGTCATTATTATTCTTCTTATTATTCTTATTATTATTCCTCCTCCTCCTCCTCCTCCTCCTCCTCCTCCTCCTCCTCCCCCTCCTCCTTCGTAGCCATTTTGGATCAAGTCCGTAGCGGTGGCCCAGAGGACATTGAGTCTGGCACCGGGGATCCGCGGCCCCACCCGTTTTCAGCGCTCCGTGAACTGTACTGAGGCTCACTCGCTCAGTACGCTCGTTCCCTTTCATCTACTAACGGCCACTGGTTGGCGGATGGCACCGCCCAGGAGGGGCTATGTTGCGTGTCCTCACGCTGCTTGCCGCTATCAGTGGAATTGGCGTAACCATTCGAAGTGTTGGAAGTGCGGCGGCAACCTCAAGCCATCGCCCAACGACACTGGAGGCAAGGGCAAAAGCAAAGGGAGATGGGACAACGGGACTCCGCTTTCTGCCACCAGCCCCTTCGCTTCGTGGGGCGCAGGCGCAGCATGGGCTCAAGATGGACAGTGCACCACCGCCGCCACCGCCCTGGACGGGCCCTCGCCGTTCGCACCCACGCCTGAGCAGCCCCTCGGCGCCTTGGAGCGCAGGCTGCCTCCTGAGGCAGCAGGCGACATGGGGGCCCACCTCAGCGCGTTCGCCGCGGCCCTGCAGACGCCCTCGCCCGACAAGGACAAGAAGCACAAGGTTCAGAAGCCGCGCCCTGAACTTGAGCGCGAGCAGGAACTACACCAGTCAGCAGTCGCAGCCCGAAAGGCCCAAGAGGCCCTCGACAAAGCCATCATCTTCGAGGAAGAGTGCAAGGAGTGGCTGCAGAAGGCCCCCATGGACCTCCAGCAGAAGGTCCAGGCCGCTGCCGCCACAGCAGTCGCCCACCAGCGACTGCTACGCAGCAGCTTGGAGGCCCAGCCGCCGCCGCCGCTCCAGCCCACGGCGATCAACCCCACGGCCATCCTGGAGACCACGGAGCCCGAGGAGCTGGGCAAGTTGGTCTGCTTCGAAGATGGCGACCTCTTCTCGCCTGGCGACCTGGAGCTGGAGCAGGAGGAGATCGAGCAGTGGAATCGCCACAAGTCGGAGCTGGCCGCCGAGGTCAGCAAACTTATCGTCGCCGCCGTCGGCCCCTCATCACAAGGGCTGGCTCAGAGGTGGCAGGCCTTCGCCGACTACCGCGCCCGCATGGCGCACAAGCGGCGTCGCACGGCAGCCGGTGGGATGGCTGCTGGAGGCGACCCAGCTCAGCAGAGAGAGGCAGATAGGGGGGCCTGGGGGCCAGCCTGACGGGGAGGGCGCAGCGGCGGCTCGCGCCCCCGCTGCTGCGCCTGGCCCTGGGGCCCCGCCCGCGTCCGCTGCGGCGCCGACCGCGGGCGCCCCGTCAGGCGCTGCCCCCGAGCAAACCCCCCCAGAGCCCTCGCCTGAGAACATCGCCAAGACGCTTGCTGAGGCGCGAGCCAGGCGCGAGGCCTCCAAGGCCGCCACCACCGCCGCCGACGGCAAGCAGGGGCTTTAGCAGCAAGAGCTCCAACAGGCCAGGCCGCGGAGCGGGCCAAGCGAAGGCATCTGACTCGCGCGAGCTGGCCTTCTACTTCAGAAATATTACCACCTGGGGGCCATCAACCCTCAATGACATAAAGGATGGATTTTCTGGCGCGGATGTTGTGGGCCTTGCGGAGACCCATGCAGATGATTTCCACGCCATCGTTGATGCCATGGATAAGCATGGCTGGACAGCTGTTGTCGCCACTCCGCGGGCATTTCGTGCAGTCAAGAGAGCTGGCGGCGTCGCCGCAGGGGTGAGGCGCCACATCAAGAGCCACTCTTTCAAGGACCTCTGTCGCCAAGACGAACAGCAGGTTGGTGCTGGCCGCCTGGACGGCCTCCTTCAGGGCGGCGGCCCCATCGATGTCTAGGACTTCGCGCCTGTGGCTGTCGAGCTCACGGGGGGCATGGACTTTATCTTCGTCGCCCTCTACCTCACGCCTGGGGAGAATGGGCGTCAACGCTGAGAAGCTCGCGAACCTGGGGGCCTTCCTCAGGCTCACTCAGATGCCTTGGATTATCGCCGCTGACTGGAATGTGTCACCGTCGGACCTGAAGCAATCCAAATGGCCCGAACTCCTGGGAGGTTATGTACTCGCCCCGACGAATACTACTTGGACTTGCAATCGTGCGCCGTACAACCTTCTCGATTTCTGCCTGGTTACAAATTCTGCTAAGGGCCTGGAGCCCACGTGCTACGCTGACGAGGCAGCTGGGGATCACAAAGGCATCTGGTTCAAGATTCAGGTCGACACCCGATTGGCACAGATTCGCACCTCACCTTGCCACAGCCTCGGCGGTTTCTGCACCCTCCGAGGCCCAAGCGAGGCCCTCACCCCAACAGCAAGCGGTCTAGGCGCAAGGCGAAGTGTTCGCAGGAGGGAGCAGCACGTCGTCTGGGGCACACGGCGCCATCGCAGGACCTTGAAGATGATGATGACCAGGGCCCACCCCCACCCAGGCAAGGTAAAGGCCTACCGCCCAGGAGCTACGACGAGGTGGTTCAGATCATGGCCCTGGACCCGCCCCGCGCTGTTGTCTCGGCCACGTTTGGCAGCGAACGTGCTCATGACCCAGGGCCAGAGGACGCCAGCTGTGCGCTACCTGGGGCTCCACCACTTTCGAGATGCAGCCTGATGGATCAGGCCGAAGTTGATTTTGACAGCATGGAGGCACAGAGTGACATAGAATTGCATGAGGAGTTCGACGTGGCTACCTGTCTGCTCCTACGGCTTCTGTGCAGCAGCCAGCAGCTGCTGCTACTCCGCCGCGCCCTTCAACGGGCGCGGCTCTCTCGTCCCCACCGGCGCCCGCAGCGGTTTCGAAAGAAACGGTAATTTGCCAAATCACACCTGGACAAAATATTCACACGTAACACCCGCTGAACACCATGACCCCGCTCTTGTACATCGAGAATGGGGAGGCCTGCCGCTGCAGCCTGATGCCGCAGAGAGAGAACTCGAGCAGATCATCCTGACGGACGCCGAGAAGGACGCCCGCTGGAGTGACTTGAGCCCCGCCCGCCGCCCTGCCAAGCCGATCCCTAGTTTCATCCAGGACTCCTGGGCTTTCAAGCTCTCGACCAAATCTGCTGCCCTTGGAGATCTCTTTTCGAGCTGGGTCGATCGGCTTGAATGTTTACACCGCGACATTTACCAGCTGCCTAAAGAGCAGCACGAGTTTTATTCTGGCCGTGCTTTTACCCAGGGCCCAACCGCATCAAAAAATGACCCGAAGGGACCAGCCCTCTCGCTTTTCGGACCCGCTGGCCCGTTGGTGGGCCGAGGTGGCCACCCTGGCCGCTATCGGGGAACATGCTGCTGGAAAGGCCGATCTCGGCCAAGGCCCCACGCCCCATGGTAAGTAAAGAGGCTATTTTGAGGCTCTCCGAGAGGGCGACCTCTGTCCCCTCAGGACCTTCCCTGGCCTTGGAGCCAGAAGCGGCCCTGTCGTGGAAGGTCTGGCTTCGAGATCCGCAGCAGCTGGAGCTCCTCGAGCGGCGCACCCTTCGTGCAACGGCGGAGGCTAACGCGGCCCAGGCCAAGCAAGCTGCCGCCAGAGCTTCCGATGCTGAGTTTAAGGTTTGGGTAGCGGAATCTCTTTCGGGCAAGGTTGGAAACCTCCACCGCTACTCCAAGCCTAAGGCCAAAGTCACCTCGGAGCTAATGTGTGTAATGGACCTTCGTAGGTCCCGATGGGCTGCAAAATGGACGGCCCCTGATTTAAATGCGGCATGGCAGAGGGTCGAGTCGGCCTTCCAGCGCGGCCGCGCCTCTGCCCAAGAAGAATCCCTTCCAGCGCTCAACCTGGAGCACCTCCAGGGGGCTTCGCCGCAGATCCCAGTCCAGACTGGACGTGGGATTGACAACCTTGGCCCTCGGGGCATCCAGGAGCTGGGACCCCAGGGCCAAACCGAGCTGCTGCCGATTTTTCACGCAGCCGAGGCTGATCTTGCCTGGCCATGGCAGCTGCTGCCGTCTATCATCGGCCTCTTGCCTAAGGACTCTGGCGGCCAACGGGCGATCGCCCTCTTGTGCTGGTTGTCCAGGCTCTGGAGCCTCCTCCATAATCAGATCTCTCGGGACTGGCCGGAAGGGGTAGGCGGGTTTCTGGGACGAGGCCATTCGAGGTAGTAGCGCCCTCAGGGCGGCGGTAGGCAGGCATTTCATGGACGAGGCAGCAGATGCCATCGGGATCTCACACGCGAGCATTCTTTTCGATATAAAGGAATTTTATGACTCGCTCGATGTAGGCCTACTCATGCACAGGTGCTTGGACCTACGGCACTCCCCCCCGGTCCTCCTTCTCTCGGCCCAGCTTTACTTGGGCCCGCGGATTTTGAGAGAGCGTTCTTCCTGCAGTGACCCCATCCTGACCACCTCGGGGATCCTAGCAGGCTGTAGGATTGCTATAAAAAAAGGAGCCGCTGCTTTTCTCTATCCTGTCCTGGACTCGGTCCATCGGGCCTTTTTCCCCTAGGGGCTTGTCGCCAAATCCTGGGTCGACGATGTTTAATTTCCGTCAGGAGGGGCCCCGCAGGGCCGTTGTCAAATCCCTCACGGACGCGGCCATACAGTTTTCTGCGGGTGTCTCGGCCGACGGTCTTCAGCTCTCGGACAAGTCGGCTGTTATAGCCTCCGACAGGGCCCTCGCAGCAGAGCTCACCTCGGCTTTAAGACAAGCTGTCCTCCAAGTTCAAAATCTCGGAGCTGCTGCGGACCTCGGCATCGAGAGAGGCCACCGTCGTTTGCACCAGGCCCCCAAGCATCGCGCGAGGAAAAAGTTGGCTTCATGGCAGGCTCGGAAGTTGAATAAGATTGCTCGCGGCACGCCAGGCTCCCGTGCTGCTCGCCGAATTGCCACCACTGGCATCATCCCTAGGATTGGCTACCGCACCAAGGTCATTCCCCTCTCTCCTGAGCCCCTCCTCCAGCTCCGCAGGTCCCTCGGTCGTTTCGCCACCTCGAAAGCTCGAGGCAGATGTCTGACCACGGCGTTGCACATGGACTACGGGGACCAGGACCCCGCTATCTCTCTGCCCACTGCTACCATCAGCTCGTGGTTTGAAATGCTCGCCTCGTCAGAAGCTTTCAGGAAGAGAGCGGCCAGAGCTTGGCCGATCATGTTGAAGAATTTGCTCGCCACCCCTCAGAACCGCCAGCGGAGGAAGATTAACGGCCTGATCTCGGGCACGATTTCGGTTTTGCTGTCCGCGGGTTGGGACCCCCAGGGACCGTGGAAGTAGACCCACCCCACAGGCGATAAGTATGAGGTGTGTGAAGATAGTTTCGACTCGGACCCTGACTGGGAGCCCTTCTTGGAGGTCTTCAGGGACACCTTGAGGCTCTCGGTCTGGGCCCAGGCTGCCAAACATTATAATGGGGGGGGGCTTGAGCAGGGCGCTGAAACCACGGATATTTTAAAAATGATGCGTGCGTTGGCAAAGAAGGGAGCCAACAAGTTTCGAGGCGCCCTCAGCACGGTCATGACGGCGGGCGTCTGGCCCAAAGCCCGGCTCTCCCAAGCAGGTGTAAAGGTCGACTCCATCTTGTGTCCCCGTTGTGAGGTTGAGCCCGAGACCGACCTTCACCGCTGCTGGACCTGCATTGCCAATAATGATATTCACCGCTGTGCCGACACACAGCATTTAAAAGACCAGGCAGTCCAAGGTGCGCAGTCGCATCCATGCTATTGGCTCCGAGGCCTTATCCCCAGAGAGTGGACGGCCATCCCAGAGCCACCAGGCGAATTGCAGGTCCAGCTAGACCCGCGGATCGACGCGCCGAGCTTCCCTGTGCCAGGCGCGGCATCGCACAACCTGCTAGGTGCCCTTCGGGGGGACGGGAGGGTTTGGCTGAGCGGGGATGCGTCGGGGGGAAAGCACACTAGCCACTCCAAGCTGCGTCGTCTCACCTGGTCTGTTGTCGCTGTTGCTTGTGGGGCCGATCCCAGGGAGGCGCCTCTGCCTTTAAGTGCTTCTGGAGGTTTTGGTGGGGCACTCCCTGGCCCTCGTCAGGGGATCAACAGAGGCGAGTTGTTTGCCCTCAAAGAGGCCCTCTTGGCCACCCCAGGCAGAGATTTGACATATGTCACTGACAGCGCCTATGTCCAGAGAGGCGCGTTCCGTCTGTGCTCGAAGGCCCGTTGGAGGCCGAAGACGAATCGGGACCTCTGGCACCTCGTCCGAGAGCTCTGGGGGCCCCGAGACGTCCTTATCGTGAAGGTCGCGAGCCACGCGACCAGGTCCGAGTTCGATCGAGCGTCAGTCAATTTAAAGGCTTTGTATCAAATCAATGAGCTGGCTGACAGGCTGGCCGATAAGTTCTCACCAGCCGCGCAGGTCCCGAGTGCGGCAGCTGATTCCCTCTTGGAGCTCGAGGCGGAGGCCAAGGCCATCCGCGCCCGTTTGACAGGTATCTTGGCTACGATGCCGTCATTCCGCCCAGAGGAAGAGTCATCCAGAGCTGCCGCCCAGGGACCGCTCAGCAAGAAGTATGATTTTTCTGCGGAGTTATCCCGCACGGCCCACCTCTTGGAGAGCTCCAGGGTCAAAGGTCGTCTGCGTCGTCAGTGGCGTTGTCGTAAATGTTCCTCGGAGCCTCCATCTAGGGGTAAGGGTACCGTAATTAAGTGGCTTCGTTCCCCTTGCACCCCCTCGCTCATTGTTGGCCCCGCGTCGAGTGCCCCGCAGGAGGTGGGGCCTTGTAGGAGAGGCCTGTCTGTGCATCCCTCTCACACTATGCGGTGGTGGGAGGTTGGGGCGGGGGCGATGAAGGAACGGATTTTCGCTTGCTCGAGGTGCGGTGGGCTCGGAACCGACCACTATCGCGCCACTGGCAAGCTCATGTCTGAATGCCAGGCCCCCACACGTACGGGCTCGGAATATCTCAGGGCGCTCGAGAAAGGTCGAGCTCCAGGCCACACTAAGTTGGCCAAACAGATCAATGTCCTGAGATAGAGTGGAGTGAGCGCGCAGCGCAGAGTCTAATCTAATCTAACCTCCTCCTCCTCCTCCTCCTCCTCCTCCTCCTCCTCCTCCTCCTCCTTCTCCCCCTCCCCCTCCCCCTCCCTCCTCCTCCTCCTCCTCCTCCTCCTCCTCCTCCTCCTCCTCCTCCTCCTCATCTTCCTCCTCCCCCTCCTCCTCCTCCTCCTCCTCCTCCTCCTCCTCCTCCTCCTCCTCCTCCCCTCCTCCTCCTCCTCCTCCTCCTCCTCCTCCTCCTCCTCCGCATCCTCCTCCTCCTCCTCCTCTTCCTCCTCCGCCTCGTGGTCCTCCAGTCTACGCCGTGCCGTGAGGGCTGAGCAGCCACTGCACAGTGGCAAGGCCCTGTGGCGACGAAGGCTCTGCTGCACGCGGTGCGGGGGCGGCGCCCCAGGAGCCGCTCGGGGAGAGAGGGCTGCAGCTGGATCCGTGCGCCGACCCTGGTCACTGCACCTACCTTTAGGTCGGGCACGTCCCCCTACAGGCGGATTTTGGGCGAAAACTCAAAAATATTCAAAACATATTCAAACATAGATGTTAAAGTTTTTACTATAATATATATATATATATATAAGTGTAGGGGAAAGAGGAAAGAAAAAAACAACACACCAAAAAACAAAAACAACAAAAACAAAAAAAAAAAAAAAAAAAAAACGTCGAGAATTCCCCCTGTAGAGGAACATGTCCGACTTAAACCTACCTTGCA